TAAATCCTGGAAAAAAGCCTGTCAAGCAAACTCCAAGGCGTTTTACACCAGAGATCTTGTCGAAGATCAAGACGAAAGTCGAAAGACTGCTAAAATGCAAGTTCATCCGAATGACCAGGTATGTCGAATGGATTGCAAATATAGTACCTGTTATAAAGAAAAATGGTACATTAAGGGTTTGCATTGATTTTATAGATTTAAATTATGCAACGCCCAAGGATGAATATCCGATGCCTGTGGCGGAAATGCTTGTTGGTTCTGCCGCTGGTTTCGAGTACATGAGTATGCTTGATGGATACTCTGGGTACAATCAGATCTTCATTGTTGAAGAAGATGTGTCGAAAATAACATTTCGATGCCCTCGGGCTTTAGGCACTTATGAATGGGTAGTGATGCCTTTTGGCCTAAAAAATGCAGGGGAAACATATCGAAGAGCAATGAATTCTATCTTCCATGATTTTATTAAAACTTTTATGCAGATTTATATTGATGATATTATTGTCAAATCTGTTTCAGGGAAGAATCACATAGACCACCTTCGACAGTCCTTCAAAAGGATGAGAAGCTATAGTCTAAAGATGAATCCTTTAAATTGCGCTTTCTACGTAAAGGTCGGGGATTTATTAGGCTTTGTGGTCCACAAAAAGGGAATCGAAATAAACCAGAACAAAACCAAAGCCATTTTGGAAGCGAAAGTGCCAACTAACAATAAGAAGTTGCAATCTCTACTTGGCAAGATAAATTTCTTGAGAAGATTTATATCCAACTTAAGTGGAAAAACGCAAGCCTTCTCACCCTTACTGAGACTCAACAAAGGAGGATTCGAATGGGGGAAAGAACAACAAAAGGCCTTCGACAAAATCAAAGGATACCTCACCAAACCTCCTATTCTGATGCCTCCTTGTAGAAATAGGAGTATGAGATTGTACATAGTTGCATCTGATAAAACTTTAGGGAGCATGTTAGCCCAAGAGGATGAAAATGGTGTCGAAAGACCCATCTACTACCTCAGTAGAGTTTTAAATGATGCAGAAACTAGATATAGCAAAGTTGAAAAACTATGTTTATGTCTTTACTTTTCATGTACAAAACTCAAGCAATATATTAAACCAGTTGATGTTTATGTTTCATCTCAATTTAATGTTTTCAAATATATGTTATCGAAATGCATTTTGCACAGTCAAATTGGAAAATGGGCACTTGCATTGACTGAGTATTCTTTAATCTTTATGCCGCTTAAGGCTGTAAAAGGACAAGTGGTAGCAGACTTTATAATTGACCACTTGATAAATTAAGAATCATTAAACTAATTGGAGATCGAACCCTGGAAGTTATAATTCGACGGTTCCAGTCATAAAGATGGAACTGGAGTAGGAGTTCAAATTATTTCTCCAGAGAAAATTCCAATAACATTCAAGTACAAGATTGAAGGTTCTTATTCGAACAATGAGGCTGAGTATGAAGCTCTAATTGTTGGCCTTGAAATCTTGTTGGAATTAGGGGCAACTCGAGTCGAAATAATGGGAGACTCAGAGTTAGTCATAAGGCAAGTTACGAAAGAATACAAATGTATAAGAGAAAATTTTATCATGTATTTTATAATAGCCAGTCGTTTGTTGAAAAAATTTGAAGTGATCAGCATTCGACATATACCAAGATTAGAAAATCAAGTGGCTAATGACTTAGCACAGATTGCATCTGGGTATAAAATTTCGAAAGAAAAATTGCAACAAGCAACCGAAGTTAGAGGAAGATTAGCATCAACCAAGTTGTCTCCAACAGATTTAGAAACAAGAAAACTAGGGTACGTTGACCCAGAAAACTTCGAAATTTCGTTCATAGACAATCTAACAAAACAAGATTGGAGAAAGCCTATAGTAGATTATTTGCAAAATCCAATGGCTTCGACAAAACGAAAGATAAAGTATAGGGCGTTGAGTTATATTCTAATGGGAAATGAGTTATTTAAAAAGACGCCTGAAGGAGTACTACTGAAATGCCTAAGTGAAACAGAGGCATACATAGCCCTTTCGATTACATATGTTGGGCATGTGGGGCACATCAAGTAGGCCATAAAATGAAATGGTTGTTGTTTCGACAAGGATTATATTGGCCTACTATGCTGAAAGATTGTATTAAGTTTGCAAAAGGCTGCCAAGAATGTCAAGTACATATAGGTATCCAACATGTACCTGCAAGCGAACTTCACTCAATTGTGAAACCTTGGCCTTTTAAGGGATGGGATTTGGATCTTATTGGAGAGATTCGACCAGCATCGTCTAAAAGAAAAAAATATATATTGGTGGGCATTGACTACTTCACTAAATGGATTGAAGCAATTCCTTTAATTAATGTGGACCAAGAAAATTTCATTGAATTTATTCAAAAGAACATTATATATAGGTTTGGAATCCCTGAGACAATAACAACTGGTCAAGGATCAATATTTACTGGTCGAAAAATGCAAGAATTCACTACAAAAATGGGATTCAAGTTGTTAACATCTACACCTTATTATGCGCAAGCCAATGGCCAAGTCGAAGCAGCAAATAAGGTAGTAATTGGCTTAATAAAAAAACATGTAGGAAAAAAGCCAAAGAATTGGCATAAGACGTTGGATCAAATCTTATGGGCATGTCGTACTTCTCCTAAAGAAGCTACCAGAACGACACCATTTCGATTAACTTATGGTTATGACACAGTGTTTCCAGTTGAAATTTGTCTGCAGTTAACAAGGATTCAGAGACATCAAGATATACCTTCCGAATCTTATTTGAATATGATGTTAGATGAACTGGTTGATTTAGATGAAGAGAGACTAAAAGCTTTAGATCTTTTAAGGATGCAGAAGAAAAGATTGAAAAAATCTTACAACAAGAGAGTAAAACCCAAGACATTCTTGCTTGAAGATCTGGTATGGAATGTAATTCTTCCAATGGATCGAAAGGATAAGAACATGGGAAAATGGCCTCCTAAATGGGAAGGACCTTTTAAGATTATCCAAGCATTTTCTGGTGGTGCCTATGAGATAGAAGAATTAAATGAAGATAAAAGACTCTTGAGAGTGAATGGTAAATACTTAAAAAAGTATAGACCTACACTTCAAGAGGTCAAAATAGTCAGCGTTTAATCTTAGTCGAAGTATACATCCAAAATGGAAGATGCATTAAAATTAGCCAAAATGGATCCAAGTCATTACATAAACATCATTTTACAAACAAGAAGTCTAAATCAAAATGGAAGTATAAAAAAAGTCATAGGTTTCATTCCAAAATCCTATACCCCAAGAGGATACCTCTTGAGACACATTCCTTTTTTAGAATTCCACCGACTCTCGGCAAAGTCGTCATAAAAACTCATAGGGATGATATATCCCCTTGGCCAATAGACAAACCTTCTTTCTAAGGTTTTTGAAAATATTGTTTTTGAAATAATAAAATCCCACCACAACAAAATAATATGATATTGACAGTAATATAAATAAATAAAACAAATAAATATAGAAACCAAACAAAAAACCCTAATGAAACCCTCAAACCTAAAAAAGATAGAAGTTTCTAAACCCTAGGGTTGCGTATCCCCAGCAGAGTCGCCAACTGTAATAACCGACTAAAAATATAGAGTCGCCACCATTAATTTTTATCCTAAGACGGGAATATAACATAATAATCCTAATTGATGATATAGAGATTCTAAATTGTTGAGTCATTTTAAACGAAGGGAAGGTGTTAGGCACCCATCATCTACCTTGTTCACAAGGATACTAGGGTTTAGGTTTAAGGTTTAGGGATAGGGTTTTAATTTTAATTAGGGGAACTCACCATGATTTTAAGTCGTATGCTTACGTATCCTCTTATGAGGAATAAGAGTCCCAATTTGTAGTTCACAATGTTTGTTAGTGTTTTCATAAGATTGCGTAGAATGACTTTTGAATTATCCTTAAACCCTGTCTGAGTTGTAAGTTGAGTGATCGTAGAGGCAGTTCCCAGTTAATTTTGAAAGTAATTTTATTTAATCTTTTTTTATAAAAATATCTTGAGTTTTGTTATGTTAGTAGGAAATGTGATTTGTTATTGGTTAGCTGTTTTGAGTTTTGATTGATAGCGAGTATGGTAAGATATAGAGCGGGATGGAGATATTAAGGCTGAGTGGTGTATTAGAAGAAAGAATGGACCCAAAGATATTTTGAGCCCAAATTGACTGAGGGGTGCGTTTTGCAACAGGGTAGTAAAACTCGAGAGTGTGAATAATAGAGCCCAAATCCAGATATTGAATATGGTCCCAAAGCCAAAGGGGGTGTCGTTGAACTGAGAAAGTAATCGTGTGTGTGTGTGTGTGGGGGGGGGGGGGGGGGGGGGGGGGGGGAAGTTCAGAAAATAAACTTGGCCCAAATAAACAGAGGAATGTAAGTTGGCGTTGGATCAATCGAATAATATAGTGGATGTGTATCCATCAATCCTATTATTTATAACATGTTTGAATTAATTTAACTGTCATTTGATTATAAGTATTGGTTAATGATTATTGTATTTTTGAATTTTTATTATACTAAAATGATAAACTAAAGTTATTCTAAATCAATTGACTTATCAAATTAAATTATTCTAAAACCTAACCATTAAGAAAAGCTTTTTTATATTCGTCAAATATTTTGGTATTTTTTATATTTGAAAATAAATGACATTAAACTAAACTAAACTAAGTGTAATAGCTTAACAACAACCAAATTGTAAAATATAACACGCGGGTTGGAGATACTGATTGAGAATGGAGGGTGTTAAATTAGCAACAAAATGGAGTGTAAAGCCCATAATTTAACTAAAATGAACAAGTTTCTAACAATAATAATAGTAGTAAAAAAAATAAACCAAAACATAGAACTAACCTAAATTCCAAAAGAAACGCTCTAACATACAGTAAGAAAAGATAAAAAATAAACCGATGCAAGTGGAGAAAGGCGTTGTCACCTTTGTATCCTTAAATCATACTCCCTCTCTAACTTACAGCCTTGGCCTTTCTTCAACAGCAACAATACCCTTTTCAAAAATTCCACAAACTAACACACAACTCTCTTTCCTTATGTTCACCATGAAAGAGATTAATCCAAACATAACCTTCTGAACATGGAAGCAAAAGAAAATTCGCAAATAAAGTATGTTAGCGATTGGAGTCGAGAAACTGTGGCGATGGTTGCAGATTCGATCAGAGTTCGTCCGTTGTGGCCCGAAGATGTACGACAGACATTGGATAAGCGTCGGTGACGGGTGGTTGTTGTTCATTCGCTGAAACGACGGTGGGTTTGCGGTTGGTTTGCAGCTGATTTGGCGTAGTTCTTTGTTGTTGATGGTGATTCTCCGAGGTTGGGGGCGATGGCGATCGGAAGGAGAGGCCGCGATTTGAGGGACGCCATATGCGGCTGGCTTGTGTGGGGCTAAATTTCTGCGGATCTGCAATGGTGTTATTGTTGGGTCGTGTGTGTCGATTGAACAACAAGGGTGTACATGTTGCATCGTGATTTGCTGCCCTTGCGGTTTTCAACGCGGCTGAGAAGTCATATAATTTGGGAATTGGCTTCGAGCGTGAGACTCCTTCGATGGATGGCGGAAGCTATGGCGGTGATTCCAATTCTTTATTTACAGCTTGAATCTCATGGTTAGTATTGTTAGTATGATGTGGTTATGTAATAGTTTCGTGGGGTTCTTGTTATGTTCTTGAATGTAACATGACGATGAGCTTGAATGTATGGACGTTAAATAATGGTGAAAAGACTTATAAATTGACATTATGTTTCGAATTTGTTTGGTTGTAAAATTGTGATGGTGAGATTTTGGAGGTTGAGTTCATGAGCTTGTGTAATGGTGAATTAGTGTCTTAATATGGAGTGTGAATGATCTCCTCAAAAATTATTAGTGTGAAAATACAATTAAAAAATTAAATAATTGTCAGATAATCATCATGTGGTTAACAATTGAAACATGAAATCGCAAATAAAAGGGAGACCTTATAGGAAATCATTGGCCAAATTGTTTTGAAAAAAGATGTAAAGATGCGTATAAATTGTGAGAAATTGTTGATAGAAAAATTGTTGATTACGAGAAATTAACTAGCAGTGAATGAAAGAATGAGATTATGAAATCGTGCATTTCTGGATGAACAATTATGTTGGACAATAGTCCTACTTATAGACTTAGAATTAGATTAAAAAACTTAGAAAGTAAGTTACCCAAAAACCCAGAGAAGCCCAATGCCTGATCTCTAAAAAAGGAAAGAAAATTAGTAACAAAAAATAGAAAAAGAAAGTGTTAAAAGTAACATAAGAGATTCAAACCCGCAACCTCATACTTGCAAGCTTCATTTCTTACCAACTGTGTTATGTTACTCATTTGAAAATAAAAACTCAATTGAAAGTTTATGAAAGTGAACAAGTATTTTCTATTTAAGATACAAATAATTTGAAATAAACTATTATACATTTTTAAATGAGTGAAATAAATTATTGTTAAAATGTTAGTAAAATCGAACCAAATAATATTATGAAAACCAATGTCGAAAATATTTTTTAATGTAGAAATAAATGGCAGGCAAATTTGGGGTATGACAACTACCCCTATTTAATTACTCTTTGATTGAAGGGTGCAAGAATACGCAGGATTCACACATTCGAATCAGAGGATTATTAAATAATGGAAGACCCCAAAATTTGACCCAAGGTTGGATAGATAAGGATATACTGTAAAGCATACCCCAGAGAATGAAAAAGGATAGGAACAAATGATGATGTATCATCTTTCCAGAATTTGAACAGATATTTTTAATTCGACTTAGATACGACGATGTGGATAACTCGTCAGTACCTAAAAGAGATCGTGGATTCTTTTACGTATTTACCATAACCTAGGAGGTAAATAACACATGTTTGAAAATTGACTTACTAATGCTTCAAGATTAACATAGTAAGCTTATAACGTGGATTTTGTCTATTCATAACATCCTAGGGGATGAATAAAAGCAGAGCTTGATAATACATTACCGCATGGAGACTAACACAATGAATTATATCACAGATTTTGAATATTTACTACAACCTAGAGAGTAAACAATACGAGGATGAACCTGTGCATTTATCACGGCCTAGAGGATAAATGACACGTGGATAGGCTTATGTGTTCATCATGACCTAGAGGATGAATAGTATAACCCTGAAAATTCGCATACCTATCATAACCTTGGCGATAGATAATTGAAAAAGTTTGTGCGTTTATCACGACCTAGAGGATAAATGACATGAGTATATTCATTACGACCTAGAGAATGAATAACATAAACCTGATAATTCGCACATCTACCATAACCTAGAGGATAGATGATTGAAAATTTTGTGTGTTTATTACCACCTAGAGGATAAACAACATGAGAATATGCTTATGTATTTATGACGACCTAGAGGATAAATAACGTAATCCAGAAAATTCGCATACCTACCACGATCTAGAGGATAAATAATTGAAAAGTTTGTGCGTTTATCATGACCTAGAGGATAAACGACACAAAGGTAGTCTTACGTATTTATCATGACCTATAGGATAAATAACGTAATTCGGAAAATTTATATACCTACCACGACCTAGAGGATAGATACTTGAAAAGTGTTTTGGTAATCGAATCTTAGATAACTAGATCAAAGATAAAATCGGAGTTTACCGGTTGTGTCTGTTCTCAACCAAAGTATTCATTTGTTTTGTGGACCAGATAATCCAACGATGAGCCCCAAGAAAGTTTGTGGTTTAACCAAAAATGTATTTGGAAAATTCCATGTACGATGTATATGCATAATGTCTTAGATTGATATGGAACCCCAAGTGTATATGCACTGAATTGTTTTTTGTATATGCACCAAGTGTTTGTATATGCCCCAAATGTTTATATATATATATATATATATATGCACCAAATGCTTATTGTGAATTTTTAATGTTCTCTCTTTTTATACCATTGGTTTTGTGCCACTTACTCTCCAATGTTGTATGTTGTATTGTCGTAGTATTTTGAATTGATTTGAACAAGATGAGTGGTGTCAGCAGAATTTTGATATTTGTATTGCAGGCGCATGTGTGGACATAGTTGCAGACATAGGCATGGATATGGATATGATCACAGGCGTGGACGTAGATGTGCATTTGCCTTCGATGTTTTTCTACCCAAAATAAACTTTGATGTTTTATCAAATGCTCTTTGGTGTTTCCGTATGTTAGATGCACTAAATGTTATGAATGACCTTGATACTTTGATATGGTTATGTGCATATTATGATTGATGTGAGGCTCTTAATGAGAAATCTACTACCAAGATTTCCGAGGAATCTACTGCCGAGATTCAATTAAGGACTACCTACTGCGGAGAACTTTTGAAAAATCATCTACCAAGATCAACCAGAGGAATCTACTGTCGAGATTCTATTAAGAACTACCTTCTGCCGAGTCTTCTGAAAAATTATCTGTCGAGATTAACCAGGAGAATCTAATGTAGATATTATATTAAGAACTACCTTCTGATGAGGTCTTCTTGAAAATCATCTGTCGAGATTAACTAGAAGAATCTACTACCGAGATTCTGTTGAGAACTACCTTCTGCTGAGGTCATCTAGATAAATCAACTTCCGAGATTAACCAGGGGAATCTACTATCGAGATTCTGTTGAGAAACTATCTTCTATCGAGGCATTCTGGAAAATCATTTACCGGTATTAACCATGGGAATCCACTGTCAAGATTCTGTTGAGAACTACCTTCTGTCGAGGTCTTCTAGATAATCAACTGTCGAGATTAACCAGGGAAATATACTGTCAAGATTCTGTTAAGAACTACCTTCTTTCGAGGTCTTCTGGATAATCAACTACCGAGATTAACCCAGGGAATCTACTGCCGATATTCTACTGCCGATATTCCGTTGAGAAACTACCTTCTGCTGAGGTATTCTGGAAAATTATCAGCCGAGATTAACCAGGGGAATCCACTGCCGAGATTCATAGTAGAACTACCTTTTATCGAGGTCTTATGGATAATAAACTGTCGAGGTTAACCAGAGGAATCTACTATCGAGATTCAATGTAGAACTATATAACTTGATTTGACAATGATGATTGTCTTCACATGCAACATAGTTTATGCTATGCGTTATTATGATTTATGATTATGACTCAAATTCTTTTTGAATGGTGCCCATGACTTCCCGATACTCTTTTGAACTCGAAGATTATGGATGTAGAAGAGAGGTCTACTAAGGATTGCAAAAGTATGAAGAGAGCTTGCCTTTTGTGGCCTATATTTCCCCAACATTTGAATTTTAAAACACCATGCCCTTGATTAACTAACCCTTGGAATTATTTTCATTGATGAACCATTTAGAACCAGTTTCTGAGTCTCGCAGTGGTCTACCCCAACATTCGGATTTTGAAAGATATGCCCCCACTCTCCAGAAATTGGAAGAGGCACTCTTGGATGATTTGCCCTAAGATTTGAGTCTCGAAGGTTTCCCCCTGATCATTAGAGCCTTGAGAAGTGGTCGAAAGAGGGAACCGAGTCCTACCATGTTGTGATATGAACTTGATTTAAGAAATGCCTTTTCAAAAAGTACGCCTCTGATTGAACGAAACTTTTGAAATGTGATCCAAGTTAATTGAATCTCAAAATGATAACCCCTAGTAAAATAGGATCTTCATATTATATTCCCCTATGATCATTAGTATTGCTTATGGTTATATGGTTCTTCTTTAGATGTTTTGCCCTAAGTTAGGAGCTTCTTGGAAAGGATCTCTTTTAATTAAACCAAATTTTGAGATCTCCTTGATGCTAAGTATTGATTCATATATAAAAGTGTATGCTTTGAAAAGTAGTTATTAGTAATGCACATGCAAGTTTTGAAATTGAAGTTTTAATATAAACGGATGATTAGAGATGGAGATTCAAAGAGGTGAAGTGGTTAGCAATAATTTTAACAAATATAGGAGTCAGTTTAACACAAATTTTGCCGAGTATGCTTTCATAGTTAACCTTGCTTAAATCAGGACTTTTGAAGGTTGTAACGTGGCCATGGTTTGTGGTTTAAGAAACAAAGGATATAAAGCTCAAGATTTATTTTAACCCAGCTCACTCTTCTTGATGTTCTCCAATCCTAAGCTCGATTAATCCAACGGTTTCGTTCAGTCCGCAAGAGAATTTTCATAGTCGCACAGACGATGAGAAACGTAGATAAAGTTTAAGCACTGATGAGAAACAGATCTAAGCATTAATGAGAAGCCATGATGATTCTTGAGGTGGAAGTAACAAGATTGTTCTCCAATTTATTTGTTTTCAATCCCTTATTTTTGCAAGGATTGATTCTTTTGAATCTGGTCCATCGAGATGCCCTAACTTTTTCTTAAGTCAAGTTTTGATTTCCTTTGACTTATCAGGCTCTTTCTTTTTTGAATTTCTTTTTTTTTTCTTTTGCATGCTTGCGACTGTCATGATTGT